TTGCCCCCTCCGGCGCTTCGGCCCTTCTTCCCTTTGCTCTCTCCCACCCCTCTGCTCTGCTCTGCTCTGGCCCCCTTCTTATCGCTCGTTTCAAGTCTCTCCTTGATGTTACCGGAATAACGAAGTCGCATAGTCGTTCCTAGCAGTGTGTTCATTGTTGATTTCTCTCCCTACCTACTCCCTACTTACTCACCTTACCTTACCTCGCCGTCACCAGTACCTCTTGTTGTACCTCACCTCTGCCGGCAAAGAAGACATCAAATGCGAAATCGACCACCTTCTTTGTCGCACACCCAAACATCCATCTGTCCTACGAATGAATTAAATACGAGCTTCTTCTTCTTCTTCTTCTTCTCTTTTTCCCTTACGCTTTAATTCTGCTGCTTTTTTTTCTTCTTTTCTTATTTTCTTCTTTTCTTCCTGCTTGCTTCACCCAATCCCCCAATCCTGCATCCCCGTCAAGCTCTCGATGGGTGACAACTACGACCGTCCTCGTGGCTAAGAAAAGTATCCTTGTTGTACCAACATAATCCAGTCTGGTCGCCCGTACTTATTTCCGCTGTACACACTCACGCACTCACATACTCTCTCTCTCTCTCTCTTTCTCTCTCTCACATACTTTTACCGAGCACTGCCTGGCCTTCTTCCTCTCGACCTCCGCGCTGCCTGTTCTCTCTGCCGCCCGGTGGAGTCTCAATTGCGTGTGGCAACTCCCTGCGCTCACGCTTCCGTTCGTTTCTATTATTTGCTACCAGGCCGATACTTACTTTGCTGCTCGGCCAATTCGCGTGGGCTCGCGCGCCGCCACTGATTTGATTTGGTTCAACAGACCACAGAGAGAGACTGACCGACAGATTGACAACGGCAAAAGAGAGAGAAAGGACGGCCATATCCAGACTGGACTGAAGACGAGAAGCGTCTTTTCCTGCCTCGAACTGTCTCCAGCGCCCGGGATTCTTCTTCTTCCTGCGCTCCCCCACGTCCTGGAGCTGTGTGGGGTTGGTTGTTTACCTTGCCCGTTGCCGTTGGTTGGATCTCTCTCTCTCGCTCTCGCTCTCTCTCGGTGCTTGTTCTGTTGTTGTTTACTACCATCAAATCCAGCCTTCGTTTCTCTACTCTCGTTTCTTCTACTCTATACCGCACAGCTAGCGAGCTCTCTCTGCTGGCTGTAGCACCGGCCTCGTCTCGTCCGATCAAGTCCATCTCTCTCTCTCTTCTCTCTTTCTCTCGCTCTCTCCGCGCGACGCAGTGCCGGCCGGTCCTGTCGTGGTTAATTACTGGAGCTTCCCGCCGCCATCTCTTCGGTCTTACTTTCTGCGAGCTTCGCTGACGACTCTCCTTTCTCTGTATCTTGCTCCGGTCTTTTGTTTTTTTCCCCTCTATATATTATATTTCTTTATATGAGCTCTCCAACATATGCGCATTCGTTACGTTACCGTTTCACACTGTACATGACCACCAGCTGGATATGTCCCATCAACAGGATAAACTATGGACGGAGGAGGAGAGGGTACTGCTTTCATACCAAAAAATATCCCCCCCAGTTTACAAAATGTTCAATTCGCTGACTTCTGCTTTTTCTTTCTTGTCTCTCTTTACAGAACTTTCTTCTCACGGAGATATTGAAGAAAGCAGGCATCTCCTCTGCATACCTCTTCAGTATCATCAGAGAGAATCGCATTGCCCCAAGTTGGATGGAGATACCACTTCCGCCAGGTAAAGAAACCGACTTCCTTCTCCCTCTCTCTTCAGACTAGTCTTTACATGCTGAAATGCATGGATTGAGATAAACCCGTGTTTAATCACTCTGCGCTCCTGTCATAACAGCGGTTTTATTAACTTTTTATACATCCAGGCCGATCACTTAGCTCCTGTCAGACCGCGTTCTATCGCATGGAGCAGGAATATGCGAGCCAGTACAGACAGAGCATTCCCGGCCCGCCTGCTCCGCTGCAAATGTCTCCGATAATCCGAAAACGACCTGCGCCGTCTGGAGAACGGCCGCTGGCCTCTGCTCCCCGTGCCATCCAGCCAAAACCCCATACCTCTGATACCACACGATACTCAATCTCCGAGGTTCGTACTGGGGTACCAATTCCTCGTGCCCCTGATCCTCCTCGTGGAGACACTCCTCGTAAAAGGGGACGACCAAGCAAGGCCGAAATGCAGCGCCGTCGGATAGCTGAGGAAACCCGTTCCCAGGCTCACTCTGCCTCTCAACAACCGAACAACACGACACCCAGACCAGGATATGCTGCGGGGGGTTTACCCGCAACTTCTCCCGGTACGTCGTCACAGGGGCCGCCGTACTCCCCTGCCATGGGCCAGCGAGTGCCTCCGGAGCAAATGCGTGAACCCGATCCCCCGACCCCAATGAGTGTACAGTATCATGGGACCGAAACTCCTCCATCTCAGACACAGGACATACAAGTCCAAAGAGGGCAACGACCCCAACAACAACAACCACAACAACAACCACAACCACTGCTGCCGCGAACTGAAGGTGGCCGGCATCTCCAGGAATCACCCATGATTGTAGAGTCAAGGGACCCGAACAGGCCAGCTCAAGGAGCTCATCATCCGCAGACTGACGTCCCAGCAGGCAGCAGTGGCCAACGACCGGATACCGCGCCATCAGCAGCCACAACAACGCCTTCTGGCCCATCAAAACCGGAATCGCCTGGTAACCGGGAACGAATTTCACCAGAACAGCCAGATCCAAGCCCAGAGGAGGATAAAGGGTCATAGCGACACGCAGAGGGCACACGTATCATGATGGTATCAACGATACTTTGTGGTGCGGGCCCCCTTTGCAGCTGAACTCTGTGGTGGATTTGCATACGATATAAAAGGAGTAATGAGGTCAAGCGAGACATTTATTTTCCCAATGAACTCCAAGTCATATTATATACAATGACTTGATGCGAGAACGTGACCAAAGGTGTTCGCAATTGTTTCGTTTTTTTATATTTTATTTTTTATTGCTTTTCACACACACCCCTTTTTACTGCTATGTTATTCGATTTGTCCTTTCCCCTTTTCCCCAAACCACAGCGCCTATCTCCCGAACGAAATCACGAATCCCCAGCCTGACTCAATCCGACTTGGAATCTATCCTACCGCCCGGACTCTCACCGCCCCCCTAGACACACCTATCTACCCACGGAGCATGTGCCTTTTTTTTTTTTCTCGGAGATCTAACGGCCGATATTTCCCCACCCCCAGCAGGAACAGTCCTTGTTCCCATTCCCAAACTTTCCTTTTATGCTACTGGAAGAGGATTCCTGACGAGACCGTGTCTCTTCCTCTTGGTCTAAAAAATCGCGTGGGAGGCAAATCTGATCATTTAGCAAAAAATTTTCTCATGGACCTGCTGCTGTATTTGCCTTAAAATTGCCAGTTACCTTGCTTTTTTATTTTTTTTATTTTTTTTTCTGCTTTCTTTTTCCTTCTCCTTAACTACTTGTTATTCTTGTTTTTATTTGTTTTCTTTTTATTATTTGCTTTGTTTTATCTGCCTTCCGCTTGGACGGTGCCTTGATCTGATCCCGTTAGCCGAGTGGTTTGGACACCTCCCGAGCGCTAATCGTGGATTATCCAAGCCAATCGAGCAAATTTCCCCCCTTGAGGATTGTCAAATTACAGGAACCCCTTGACCAGTGTTCTCTTCCGGTATACCTATTCTGCAACGAATGAAGTTACTCTGCATCCTGCAATGAGAGATTCAAAAAAACTGATCGAGATAAAATGACGACTCTTCCTCGTGATGTCGACTGCCGCTGCCAACTCAACCATGCGTGTCCGCGCCTTGTTTTTTTACTTCTACATTTATCATCCCCTTGCTTTTTTCTTTCTCATTCGTTTGGCTCATATCCATTTCTCCTTTGTACTGCTGTAAGTGTTTACATGCGCTGCTTGTTTGCTTGCTTGCTTCGTTTACTTCAAAAGCTACGCTCTTAATGAACAATGTACGAATAGATTTGGCCTATATTTATCTATGAATCAACGATATCCCATTCAATTCAGCTAATCTTCCTTTCAATCAATCACACCGGTTGTTGATCCAGCTCAATCCTTCTTACAGCTCCTCCTACCAAGTCCACCCTCGTAAATACAGGCCCTCTTCCAGAACCCCCCCCCCCCCCCCCCCACCACCACCCACCCTTCAACGAACAAGGTTATGTATGGCCTTCATCTAATTGACTTTCTCAGGCCAACAGAGCAGCCATCACTCCAGCTCTCTAAAAAGCTCATTCTGTTATCATCCACAAGGAAGGGCGCTTTTACCTAACACTTTTGCCAGGGGGCTTCAAGGACGAGTTGCGAGTTGCCTATTACGGTTTAGCGCCAGCAGAGCCGCTTCCCAGGCTATATTTGATCGCTCTTATATCAACCGCGGACGCGCAGAACAGGATCTGGTCAGGTCGATGAGTTCCAGCGGGCTAGCCACGCAAGCACAAAACGTCACTAATTAATATACCATGGCCTGTCTTATGCTCGCACCTAAAAGTCGGGATTAGCTTCTCGGGAACGGGCGAGCGGTGATGAAATAGTTAAGTATTTGACTAATATAGCTAATAATACTTAGCTGTCTTAACATTAACGGCCGCTTTGCCTCGCCTCGCCCATTATTATTAATATTATTGGAGAAACGAACGGCTACACATATATACCCTCCCGTGATGCCGCTATCCGAGTTCGACCGTGAGTAATACCTGCCCGTGAAATGGTGTGCATGTTGTGGCTGCCTGAGAGGGCGGAGGCGAGAGGGCTACCCCGGTATCAGCTCTCTCCCGTCGCCCAAGGAGGAGGCGATTAGAACGGCTCTTACTGTCCGCTGGAAGCTTCTACGCCCGCTTCCATCCCCACCGCCTATTTCTGAGCTGGACTGGACCCAGAGCTTCCTTGTTTCAAAGCTGCATTGTTTCGGTCAAAATGGCGATGTAGTATCATCATATGTCAACGGGCCTTTTTTGTTCTTCAGACGCACGGGCCTTTTACTGTTTATATGCTGCTGCATAAACACCCCTATTCGCCCATATCGCAACCCATTGCATGATGCAGTTGGGTTTGGATACTGTGTTGGCACGATATGATCCAAGAGAAATTGCACGAACAAAAGTCTTCGGGTTTAGGAAAGATGAAAGAGTCAAAAGCACTCGCTTAGCTGCTCAAGGGAATGGGCGGCGCTCTAACTGAGTTGACTGACTGACAGGTACCGGGGGGTCTCGGGGCTGCGAAGGTGCTCGGACGGAATGGCGAACTTCCAACTGGACAGCGCAGCGATTGGGGTCCCTTGAACTAAAGCGCCAGGAGACGCCTTCGAGCATGGGATCTTATCCCTCACGGGCCATTTCTTTCAGGGCTGCTCCCTGGCATCCCTTGAGATCTACCAATCACGTGAGATATTCATTCGCATAAAAATAGGCGATGCAAGGGTTTCTTCGCGGGCTGTTTTTGGTGAGGATGAGGAGGACCCTGTCCTTGATTCTGATTCTGGGCCGGGTATTAAGTTATCACTGTTAGTTATGTGAGTGCGTCGTCGGGCCACCGGGGCGGTTCGTGGATGAGGATCCCTTTCTTCCTGATACAATGCGCGCACATCCGGAGTATGCGAGAGCATGCAGCTAATATTGGATGTGCTTATCATTGAGATATACCGTATCTGCAGGGAACAGGATGTACATAATGTACATCCCATACATTGTACTTACATACTAAGTAAGTATGGAGGGGCGTTTTTCTTATGGATACGGGATGACAAGCATGTATCTTGCATAAAACAAGCAAGCTTTGTTCCGCGACTACCCATCAACTGGTATCCTCTCAGAGGTGAGTCTACAATACAAGGTCGAGCCATTAAGTTAAGCCCTTGTGCAACTCTCTGCCTATCAGGAATATGTTAAGCATAAACAGGGCGGACTGATTTCTCATTTTCTATTTATAATAGTTAATGGGCAGCGTTGCTTGATGATACTCATATTCCATAGCACAGGATCATTACTTGTCTCATCCATGACATTTGATGCTCAATGAGACCTTCATCCGAAACCCAAAGACGCTCACTCGAAGGAATAGGTAACCATGTCCGATACACGATGCAAGTAACGGCAGGTCGCTGCTGATACCCGCCCAAACGGGCCTCCAGTTCGAGACGGCACGGACAAGCCTTAATTTGCTTTAGCCGCCGGACAGGGAAGCATGCTCTGCAGTACTTATATAAGGTGCAAAGCGCAATCCATCGTCGTATGACATGGATATACGTAAAGGAAGCACCTTGAGAGAGAAAAAAACGAAGAGAAAAATCCCCACGTCAAGGCTAGCACAACACGTATGCAGTTTCCTCTCGGGGTCTAGTGCCATCGAGCTTTTGACAGGATATTGCTGGTAAGATCAGGAAAGTTTGAAAAGTTTCATGAATTTAGACGCCTCGGGGTCTGTGGCGATCGTATCAAAACTCAAGGCAGACCAGGATAAGACGAAACAGCCGGATGGTTGGTTGACTTGTTTTTTTCTTTTGGACCGTTTAAGGGGACTGAACGCCGGAGCATGGATCGGAAGTAGGCTGATGCAGTCGTTTCATGTAGCAAGGGGTGCGGAGTTATACCCTTACAGAGCTAGCTGAGCTGCCTATATATATTCCTACATTATTCCCGCCCTGCAGCCCTCGCAGAGAAAGAGCAAAAAAGGAAATGAATTAAAGCGAAGCGCAAGATGGCAGAAGAAGGGGGAATGGGGGGTGGAATATTATACTTGATGTATATATTGAAAACACGCTAAAACATGACTTCATGTGACAAAGCAGAGAGAGAGAGAAGAAACCAGAAACCAGAAGCAGGGGCGAAGAACCACCGGGCCTGATCAAACAGTGCCGGCAATGCTTAAATCTCTGATTTCCTGCAGCACCTGTTCAACCTTATTGTCTAGGTTGCCAGATGCATACTCCTCTCTTGTGTCTGAGTCAAGGTACTGCTGGACCTGGGCCATGCGGCTGTACGCCTCGGCGCAAAAGCGGAGCTGGATCTTGACAAGAGCCTCAAAGGATGGGTCGAGATATGGGACACGCAGATCAATAAGCTGCGGTAGCTCGTTGTATAGCTGTTCATTTAATTGGTCATAGGCCTGTTTAGCCATTTCAGCATCCTTTTCGGCGCGCGGTAGCTTGGAGGCATCCTTGTCGGGCTTTTCCACGAGTTTCTTGACCTTAGCTCGCATGGAGTCATAGTCGAGGAGTTTGTGGTTACGTTTCTTGATACATTCATTGATATCAGGGAAGTATGCGCAGAAACGAGAAATAGGGTCGAGGACGGTCGTTCTAAGGAAGTAATGTTAGCATATCTGATCTGGTGCATGGGTGGCGGTGGAACGAACCTGTATGGTCCATCGAGTGCCTTTATTGTCTCTGCATCTAGATCTTCAACGGCCTGTTTGTAGCTTCTGCTCACGCCGTCCTTGGCTCCAGCATCACCATAGAAAGCATCAATAGTCTCCGCAATTCGCATTTGAGAGGCAGTCATGGCTGTCAACCTGGTTAGCAGCTGGTTCTCAGGAAGATTGCACGATGGGTATTTACCTCGTAACGAGTCCAGGTATCCCTTTGCTTCCTTCTGTAGCCTGTTTGCAGCGGATTCCATTGTGCGATATCTTCTTTCTTCAATCTCATAGTCGCGATCATTCGTCTTCTCAACATGGCCTGTAATGATGTGATACCGAGGAGTTAGCCTCGTCCAACAGGTGTCCAAGGAGTCCAAAGCAATATGCAGAGGGTTAGCCTACATACCAGTCTTCATCATCACCTGGGTCGTCGCCCGGTTGACATTCTTCTTGAAGCCTAGAAGAATAACCCGCATCAGCATTGGTCGTGAATATATCCGGGACCATACTCTGGGTTGCAAAGAGTAGGGGGGAAGCGTATGGAGCCGTCTATCATCAACGTACCGGCCCAAGACATGGTTATTAAACTGTCGCAGTTGATAGCAAGATATTAAATCAAGCTCGATAGAGCGCAAATAATGCGATTCGAGGTGTATCCAGTGGATAGTCGAGGCAAGAGGACAGGCCGATATAAGGGCGTCCGTTCTGTAGCGGGGCAGTGATTGGTTGCGTGTCGGTACGGAAGTTGCTGTCGAGGGAATCGAAGGTGGTACAGTACTGGTAACGATGCGTCGAGGCCAATGAGGGCTAATTAGCAAGACCGCAGGCTTGTTTCTATGTCTCTGTCGCGGAAGATGGTATCTCAAAACGAGCAGCGGGAAGTGGGAAGCAGAACGAGGCTCTTTAGCTCATCGACGACGGTTTTGGCCTGGGCAGGTTTTGAGTCGAAGGAAGCGCCCAAAGCTGTGGCTTAACTAAGATGACGAGGCTTGGCGTTTTTGTGGCGCAGCAGCATGTCACGTGGACGGAGATGAGGCCGCTTCATCTTTCTTACTTGGGTTGATTTGATATTCGTCAGCGAGTGCCAGAGGCAGAAGAAGGATGGGACAGACGCTGTTTCAGGCAAAGGAGAGCATAGGGGATTGGTTCTCATGGTTTGCGAGGCTGCTATCAAAGACCGGCTGTGCCACCTAGCTAGTGAGAATAACCCTGTAACTAGTTATCTAAGTATACAACTGCCTTTGGCAAGCAGGGGGACTATGCAAGTATCAACCAATATGAAAAAAAGGTCCCAGGCTGCAGCGGCAAGGCAATAATATATACCAAACTCGAAAAAAACAAAGAAGGAATGAAGAAGAACCAGGCCAAAGCGAGATAATGTAACCAAGACGAGGGACCAGACATGATAAGATCAGATAAGATCATGAACCGAGAGGAAGCAAATTGGTTGATTGATAACACGCCCAACACCTCGCGCCAACGCCCGAACCGACGGAAAACATTTCTTATTTTCTAGTCTTGCTTTATCTGCCTTCCATCGGACGTTCCCCGACTCCAATTCGCTGATCGTCGGATGCAAGTGATTGGTACGGATGCATCCGTTCTGATGGGGATATGGGACATGCTAATGTAAGGCAGCAGTTCGTACCCAGTCGGTGGAAGAGACTGGATGGAGAATCAAAAAAGAAAGTAAAGTAATTAAAACAAGCAAAAAGGGCAAGCAAGTTAAGGCGGAACAGTGGCTCCGTAGTTCGTTGTTTATTCCGTCCTGTGATTTGCTTTTCTTTGCATTCCACTTTTTCTGTCTGCTGGTCAGTCCCCTCGTGTGATGCCGGCCACGTTGGGAGGGCTGGTGAGTATGCGTAAGTAGTAAAAATAAGTACATAGTTAATGGTCGAGCCGATCTAAAAAAAAGGAAGAAGACGAGGAACAAATAAAGAAAAAAACACAAGCTAATACAGATAAGCAGTGAAGCGCTGGTAGATCGAATGCGGAAATGACGTTGTGTGAAAGCATGTAAGGGTGTACTTTATGTGCAAAGGGCGGCGATATAGACAAGGAAGAAAAAAAAACAGGATAAAGACAATAAAAGAAAGGAGCCAGCCAACGAAGAGTGTGAAGAGGAGGGATGAAGTGATGGCAAACTGAGAAATACGTTAAGTCATATATCTAATCAGTCGTATAATAGCGAGTCCAATTCAATGGGGCAGGTAGAAGCAGCAAGACAAAAAAAGTCCATATCACGTATCCCTGTGCATATGAGTTCATCGCCAGCCAATGCCAATACCTTTTCGGCATGTGAAGGGGAAAGGAGAAGGGATGGGGAATGGAAAGGGTTTGTGTTATTGTTGTAAGGAGACCATATATAACGGCATTGACCGGGTTATCGGTGCCAGGAAAAGAAGAGGGAGGAGGAAAAAAAGGAAATTATACGTTAGAAACGAAGAAATGATCATAATTCATTAGACCGAGCAAGCCCTCCGGGGAGAAGGAAAAAAAAACCACAAACCAACAAACCAACCCATTGGCAGAAACTAAACCAAAGAATCATCATCGTCGTCTGTCTGTTTATCTGTTTGTCTGCCTGACTGTCTGGTTATAGGCATAGATGAGTAGGCCAAGGAATTAAGGAATCGGCGGAAGCAGGTGAATACGACGACCACCAAAAAGCAAAACGCGGAGATGGGAAATGGAAGGGCAGGGAAGAAAGGGAGAAAAAGAAAGAGAGAAAAGCCACCCAACTGGAACCAGAAGTATGTCGGTTTGAGTCAAGTCAAGTCAGATAGCCAGCTCAGTTCCCGTTCCTTTTTTTTT